GCAATAGAGCATTTTGATTGGTTGATTTTAGTTATTGGCCCTCTGACTGCCCGAGTCGTGTAATAGAAAGGGATATAAATAACTAAAGCAAGAAATCATTTGATCTCTTGATCAAACACAATGAGCCATCGCTGCCTCACTGGAAGCATGGGTTTGTAAAACTTAATGTGGTTTTCTCTTCTGAGGACGATGCGAAATTTTCAGATATCGGTTCAGTGGTAAAGTCCTTCAGAGCATCCTTGGTTTTGAAGTCCCCAGTCTAGTCATTATATTCTCCAGGACCATCTTCACGCGTACGGCTGAATGCAGCCTGCCCTGACTCGTCCACTAATCACTGTTCGTTGTCTTCTGGCTCTTGTTTGGCGCATGCGTAGATTGGATTGTCAAACTTCGCCGCCGGTCCTTGGTTTTATTTTAGGTCTCCGTCTCCTACAGGTGAGGAATACCAAAAGTGTGGCACCTAGCGCTGATTTAAACACGGCACGAGTCAAAATCGAAACAAAAGGAAAATAGGTTTTTTATTTATTTTACCACAAAATACAAATAATTTTTTTTTTACCTTAAAATGCAAATAACGATAGAAACAAGACAGTCACACAAAAACAAATAAAAGCGGCGAGGGTTGACCGTGTATCAATGTTCACCAAAAAAGTAATCGTTTGACACAAGAAACTCGCGGTCCAACCTTCAACAGTCATATCCTGCTAGCCCCAAGAGAAAATAACGGAACTTTATGGCTGAGTATCACTGGTGTTGACACAGACGGCGATTTTGTGAACACAAAGACATGTTTCGGTTTTCTGAGCTTTGGATGTTTGCGGTTTCTTTTATGCAGAAGGGTCAAATGAGTTACAAAACTCAAGGTGCGCTTGCCGTCAGTTGAAAAAGCGTTAGGCGTTTGCTCCTTAATTATCCAAATATCAGTTAAAAATAGAATGAGAGACACTTGATTGTACTTAGCCTACCTAGCACTACAAGTGATGTTGCACCAATGATGACGGGAAGTTTCCATGGTAACTCTTCAGCATTTTCATGGTTTTTAGCCTCTTCTTGAGTTTTCGTTCCAGGCTGTTCATTGGTGCTTGTCTGGTAAGAGAAACGAAAGACATAGGAAGAGGAGCCCATTGGCAATTACCAATGGCGCGCGACAAATAACTACAAAGCACCGGTGACAAACAGCTTCCAAATGAGCCTCTCCTTGTCAGCCAACTCACCATTTGCCATCGTAAAGTTTCAACATCCCAGTTTCTAACTGAGAACATTAAGAAAACTGCCAGATCGCCTTGTTGTCTTCTTGCGAGTTCAAAATTCTTAAGATATACCTACCTTCAATTCAAAATTTCACGATGTCGCCAATGGTGTAGAAATGGTTGTCTTGTCTTCAGTAACTGGTTTTTGAATGAAACTGATTTTTTCCTCTGTCATGTTCAAAGCAAATATACACAATCAGTTCATAATCTTTTAAACGTTGAAATTCTACATGATTTGATCGACAAAGTCTGGAAACTAGTTGTAAATGTTGTAGCAGACAGCGATAGCTTAGGTTCACGCTGCTATTCACCGACAGCTCCTGGCGAGGCTGTGGTAAAACCTTGTCCACAGGGAAGGCAATCCATCGAACCATCAGAGGGCTGGTAAGAACCAAGTGGACAAAGAGTTCGTATCCGGTTCACAGAGCTGTGCTAGCCAGCAAGACAGTTCGCTGCTTAAGGTGGCTCTATATAGTTTTTTCGGCGCACGAAGGATGGGTACGAATGGCGCGAGCGCGCGAGTATTTGAAAGAAAAACAAAAATAAACATGGCGGCGAGACTTTTATCGCGAGTCGTGTTCCACTTACAAACTCCTAAAAATGTGTTTGAAAATACACTTCTTTCGTCTTCTCTTGACGTGGTTAAACTGAGGAGTCAATTCGCAGCATTTATTGCGCCGATATCAGAGAGGGTAGACAGTCGTCATCGAACGCGAAGGAAGTCGCAGAGTGGTCACGGTGCACTTTTTATGGTTGGAGGCTTCGCTTTGAGCTCCATGGGCGATGATACACTGAAAACGGCTGGAGTGTCTGCAGAGGTGCAACTGACACAGGAAAAACAACCACCAATGCGTGACGAAAAGGGTCGGTTTTCACATAAGAAACCCACTCGAAGTGGAAACGTGGAGGACAGGACTCGTGGGATAAAGGAGTGGAGGGCAAAGAGGAAATTAGATTTTAATGGGATGGTAGAAGATTGGTCGCCACCGAAAAAAAGAGAAACCCGTTTAAGTCAGGTGTAGTTTAAATTTTGTTTTCACTATGTGTGGCACC